TAGGGTTTAGGGTTTAGGTAGGGAATAAGGGAATATGTTGCATGGGGGCTTGGGGGGGCACCTACAATACGGTCCCTATCAACCCTTCTCCATTTGGCTCTCCTACATTCCAATCGTTCGCACCCCGCTGCACTCGACACAATCCTATTTTGTGACTATGAAACCCATTTGCTGGTACCTCGTTCTAGAAAGCTAAAACGCTAAACGTCAAAACCAAGGCTCCAAAAAGGCCTTGTCCGGTATCTCACCTGGCGTATGAGGGCATCGTTGTCATGGCTGTGGAGGGAGGAAATCTTGCACCATCCAATGCCCTTTATACCCTCTAGGATTCACTGAAAGTGAGGATGCAAAGTGGTGCGAGACTTTCCTCCCTCCAGTGTCGAGCAGCTGCACAAGACAATCAATCCCTTGCTGCGAATATTAACCCACCCCAATCGTGAATGCCCGTAAGATAACAGCGCGCATGCATGATCGGGGTAGGGAGTTTCATTCTGAGGGGGAAGTGATTTCATGGGTTGAGCAACGAGCTGCCCGACGTTCCCAAGCCTGCAAGCTTGATGGAAACTAGGTCCGAAGTTTTGAGGCAAGCAACCCACGGTTTAGGGGCTTGCAAGCAAATCTGTTGCACCCGGGATGCAAATACATACATTTCCCAAACTTAGGGGTACCACTTACGGTTATGAGTAGTGTATGTAAGACCTTGGAGTCACAAATTGGGGTCACTTTATTGAGTGCAGCTATCATATTAGAGATACCATGGGCTCACTTGAGATTGTAACTTTTCCCAATGCCATGACTTGTTTTGACAAGTGCACACCCAAAGGGCCCATGGCCCTGAGTATGCTTTAGGGTTCTATGGTTCCTGCTTTGACACATACACCCAAAACCCTAAACCCCACACTGGCATGCCTACAAATACACCCCTTGAGACACACATGGACCAGACCTTGATCTCGCCGACACCTGATCTTTCCAACCTCAGGTACGCGGCGCACGAGTATGGGGTTTGTAGGCTTCACCCTGCAATAAAAGGGGCCACTACTTGAAGTAAGGGTAGGGTAAGTTTACGCAGTCCCTAATATTTGCGGAGGGACGGAACAAGTCCTGGTCTAGGGAAAGCACAACCACGAAGCGTCGAAGAGACAAAGCCGAGGTGCAGGTGTTGGAAGGGCGTCATCCTCTGCACACCAGTGGTAGATGTTGAGAGGATCGAGCTGTGCCTCTTGCAGGCAGGGTCATCCTTTTGTTTGTTCACATGCGGGGTGAGCTTTGCGCTGACTTCTCTGTTGGTGCTTCTGCTGCTTTTCGTTGCTGCAGAACAATTGGCGAGATACTTGGTGAGGTTTTCAGCAGCAAGGCCGTCGGGGCCTGTCACAAAAGCATCGGTTCCCCAGAATGCACACCCTAATTGAACACCATGAAATCTGGGCACACGTTCAGGACGATGCCATCAGTAGTTCAATCTCAAACTTGTCAAAAAGGCAAGCCCTCCAACTTCCAGATGAGGACAGCGTCGCCCCGGGCCCTGGGGTTCGGGTGTTAAAAGGTGGTAGGTAATTGTGGGGTAGCAGAAGAGTATACCCCCACAGCTCCGCTTCTCCAGCCAAGAAGTGTAGCTGGGGGGCATTGGAAATGACGAACGTATCCAGGTACTCGATGAGCTCTGGAATCTGCCGGATGCCGTACACCTGAGTTGTGGGTTAAAAAACTTAAGCTTGTACATATTGCAAACCGCAGAGCCTGAAGCCCTAACCCTAGCAGGACCCTAAACACCCCACGGTTTGCCCAGCGCCTGCTACGTAGTTCCAAGTATATGCAACATCATAAGTAAGTCAATAGAGAAGTACACAGGAGCCCTGTCGTAGGTGTTGGCACTTAGAGATGGCGGCTAGGAGGGGCCTCAATAGCTGCCAAACATCACAAGTCGAGGTCTGTTTCTTGCAGGTACCCTATACAAGTATACCATTACTCTATTCGGAACCTGGACCCACCGTAACACGGGAGTTATTCAAGCCCCAGCATTGGCAAACCAGCCCAGTGGCATTGTCCAAGTGGAAGTGATCGTTGAGGCGCAGGTGGATTCCGGAGAAATTCGTGGGATCGTACTCAACCCTGGGACACTTGGATTCATGACAAGGCGAATGTCTCTCTACCAGTTTGTGTAAGATTGCCTCGCGCACTTCTGACTTCTGGCATGGTTTCTGTCGCCAAGAGGCTGCTGGATTGCGATAAACAATCCGAAGCATACCTGCAGTGGCTGAATCTGCAGATGCTTATCCCGCTCACCAAGAAAAGGCGGCCAAGAAAGATCAGTCTTAAACTTACGGGCTGACTACGCCGGCCCCGAAAAGGTTAACCTTTTGATTTTGGCAGGGATTTATTGCAAGAGAATCCAAAAGGTAAAGGATATCTAGTACCCAGCCCCTAACTAAAAATCGCTGGTGTTCCAACAACCCCTAAACCCTAAACCCCTAAACCCCTAAACCCTAAACCCTAAACCCTAAACCGTGGTTCCAAC